CGTACTTATTTTTTCACCATCTTTTGTATTTATTTTGTAATAGGCTCGTTTTTTGCAAGCCGTCTTTCCCCACAGCGATGAAAACCTTGTCCCTGCTCTCCGGGCCCCGCTAAGCCCGCTCGGGCAATTGGCACCGGAGCGCTACATCCTAAACATATCCGTTCCCGGCTCTTCTAAGCAGCCGTTGCTCCTGCTCCGCAGGTCCGATCTGCATCAATCCTCGGGGTTGAGTCCGTGGGAAGGACCGGCGTGTGCAGGATCTGTATCTCCAGGGGGCTTTTACTCGAGGATCTTGGGCAATGAATTCGAAATACCATGAGAATATGAATGCTAAGTTCAAGAGAAACCTAGGTTCTGTCTTAAATAGAGAGATGAGATTGAAAGAGCAGTCAGACACTAGTATTTTGTGGGTTTTTGTTTGGTTTTTTTTTTTTTTACCATTTCTTTCCATATTTGCAAAGTTTTAAAAGCTCTGGAAAACTTAAGTTTTGCAACGAGCTCACGTTTCCCTTCACGTTTCTCTCAGAAAGGCAACTGTTCTCAGAAAAAACCCCTCTTGCTTAGGAACCAGAGACCAAAATTTGTCTAACGCAGAACTAAACTCCTGTTTTTGCTGTACCTCAGGGTCAGGAACAAACCCGAAGCAATACATTTATTTTACCGCTGTTCTGGTTCTTCCAAGATACTCTTGGCACCCCAACACATCTCCCCAGTCGGTTCTCCCATTACACCCAAAGTTGCTGATGTAGCTGAAGACTGACAGCGAAGTCTCTTTCCTTTCCTCATGCAAAATACTTTTTTAATCATCTTGCTTAGGTTTTTGGAGAGGTGTCAGGTGTCCTTCAGACTTTGCATGTCTTGGCGTTGCTCTAGAGGTGGGGGGAAAGGGGAAAATGGTCACTTTTCTGTAATTTTTCCTTGAAGGTGAAGTTATGTAGTAAAAAAGGGAAGACTTCAGCACGAACTTAACCAAAAACCATGAGCAATGTGCTACTGGATAGATGCAAGAGCTATCATTGCTGCTAATTAGTGATGAACTCTAATTTTTAAATAGAGGAAAGGTGTCTCTCCACAATAGGCTCTCAGGCTAGGTTGTTCATACCTGCAGAAGCCAAAAAGATACAGATCCTGGCAAAAACAGCTTCAGTGTCTGCTGATGAAATTATAGTAAACCACAAAATTCTACAATGTGGTATTAATATAATTTAAGATTTTTATCTGCTATAAATAAGTCAAGCAACAACAAAATTGGGGCAAGTAATCTTTAACAATAATTTCTGTCCATAAATTCAAATACAATTTTTTTTCTATTTAACTATAGAGAAACGTGAGTAAGTGATCATAGTGAAGGGGTGATGTATACTGTGCCTCTGGTACTTCAGTGTACGGTATTCGGTAACCACCTTCACCAAAATACCATTCTCTTCACAGAACTTTATTCCAATCAGACTTATTTTTTCCTTTCTCTTCTCTTTCTTACATTTCTGTTAAATGTTTCAGCAGTCCTGTGAACAACAGAAGAATATACCATATCACAGAAGACTACCATATTCCATAGCCACCAGGAAAAATAAAAGGGGGGAATACTCAGTTTGAAAATCAAATTCCTTCTGTGCCATCTCCTTTGGGACTCTTCGGAAACAGCCTAATGATTTCTTCTGAAACTTGTTGCAGATGATTGCCCTGGTTATGGATTCCTTCACAGATACCGATATCTTCAAAGACCTCTTGGAAGCCTGTAGCCAGCGGCAAGTTAAAGCATATATCCTGCTAGATCAGTCCTCGTTTTCCCACTTTCTGAAAATGTGCAAGGATCTGGGAGTTGACCTTGAAAAGGAAAAGGTGAGACTTGTCATATATATTTATATATATAGGGATAGGGAGTTCATCCTCTTACAACTGAAATCTGGGCTGTCAAAAGATGAATCTATCACGCCTGCTGCCACAACTCAGAATGGGGTTTATGTAGCTCTAGCATCTGTCTTGGAAGATTTAACCATTCTTGCATAAGAAGACAATTCGTAGAGAAACCAAAAGCTTTGTAAGTGGATGTTACAAGTGCTTTCTGAGCACAAATACTAATGGAATATTTGAGGAAATGCAGGAGGAATGTCCAGTTCCTAAAGCATGACTGGAGTTGTTCAGGCTTGCCGAGAATATGAAGGCTGATGGAGAAGAGGGTTCTCAGGAGCCTGTGGAGTTCAGGTCCCTCCAACATTAGGTGACGGGAGTTTTTAACAATCACATTCTGCACAACCTGTTTATGGGTTTTCTCCTTAATGCCACCTCTTTGCCTACTAAATCAAGACAAAATGATCATTTGGTTCCTAGAGGGTGAATCTTGTGCCACAGTGCAGCAACCTGTGCGAGTTCATCAGTGATTGGTACTGTTGTGTGTTATTCCTCTAAACCCAACTGTTTAACTCTGAAATCCACGTGATGCTTGCTGTATCTTTAACAGTTGATGAGAATTCGCAATATCACTGGGAACACATACTACACGAGGTCGGGTGCCAAAATCATTGGAAAAGTCCGTGAAAAGTTCATGTTAATCGATGGCATTAGAGTGACAACAGGCTCCTACAGGCAAGTGCCAATTTCTGTTGCTTAACGTGATTTCCTTACAAGGAAAGGAAAAACAGCCATGTTGCAAAACTGCTTTCCTCATCAGAGTTTGTCCTAAGAAGAGCACACTGCTCATCATTTGGATTATAAGGATGAATTAACTAAATGTCATATAAGAGAATTTTCAGTTAATACTTTGCTAACTATTTATTTTGAATTAATTCAGAATTTTCTCATTCTCCCTTTGCTAGTTTTACATGGACAGATGGGAAGCTGAACAGCAGCAACATTTTGATCCTGTCAGGCCCTGCAGTTGCACACTTTGACCTGGAATTTAGGACTCTTTATGCGCGGTCAAAGCCCATCAACCTCAAAGAGTTATCCAGCTGCAAGAAGAGTAAGGTGTTGGACCAGCTGGTCAGGATAACAGTGTCTTCCAGAGACTTGACCAGGGAGAACTTCCTGGGAATGGAGTTTCTGTATCTTCGAGCATTTGTAGGAAATCTAAAAAGGAAGCGAAGCTGGCTGCATGCCTCAAGGGAGGCAGTCTACGTGTCAAATAATGTGATGCATGTCTCTCCTCCGCTGACTAAAAGGAATGGCTCTCTAGTTATGAGGCCACACTGGATCATAGAGAGATGAATTGCACGTTCACTCAGAGTGAAAAGCAGAACCTCAGGAACCACATCCAGCTGTTCATGCCCAGTGCTGTCTTACAGCATGTTTGTGAGAGCAGCTTGGAAACAAACCTCAAACTGAGAGAGGTTTCGTTTGAAGAACAAGCAATGCAGATCAACAGTCACAGTTACGGTGTTGTCTTAGGCTCAGATGTGTTTTTTAAAAAACCTCCAACACCTGGAAAACAATTTCTGACTTCTAGTATTGGGTCAGATTTCAATTTTTCAACCTATTCTTACACGTTTTAAGCTGATGGGTTAGCAGTGTCTTAGCTCAGTAGCTCAAAGCTTTCTTGTAAGGAATTGAAGTATAGAAAACAATATTGCTTAAAAGTCATCCAAAGATGAATAGCAGGGCTGCTGTACAGCTCGGAAATCAGTCTGAGCTTAGGCTTGTGTTGCACGAACTCTCCATGAACCGTTTCATGACACAGAACTGGAGTAACCATAATCTAGAAACTATTAGATTAGTTCCACGCTATGGAGTCCTCATATGTTACGTTTTCTTTACACAAAGCTAACACGTCAGGTGAACAAGGCTTCTGCAACGATTGAATTTCAAATGACCTTTTCTTTGTAATTATAAGAATACTTGGATTGTTGGACATCATGCAATAAATGTGTGCAAGGGATAGTATTCCTAAGAACCTGCTGTGTTTGTGGTAGAGCTAAATGAGACCATTTTCTTGGCATTACTATGTACACTTTCTGGTTTCTGTGGTTGCTACTGCTGTCTGATCTTAAGGGAATAGATCTAAATCTGTGAAGCTGCTGCTGCTTTCAAAAGCTTTACTTCCACCACATGTGCAATACCATGAAAGTCTGAAATGGAACTATTTATTTTCAAGGTTTCATGCAAGCTCAATTAAAAAAAAAATTTTAAACCCCCATCAATTCCTGGAGAAAACAAAAAAAAAATCCCTAATGAATAAACTACCCTCCCAAACAGTTGTACATTGTGGCACTGAAGTTCCATCAGCCTGCCAGTCCGGCAACTCGTGTTAGCCTAACCATGGCAGCTGTGGCAAAAGCCAAGTTCCACCATTTCTCAAGTTGTTCTAGAGGCTCTTCCTACTGCAGAAAACTTGGGCATATACTTGAATGTCTTGTGGGTTCTGGGCTTCAAAGGGGAAGGTTAAAACTTAGCTGGGGAATTTCATATGGGTCTCTGCTAAACATCAGCTGGACCAGCATTAAATTGTACCTGTGGCGCTTACAAAAATGGTCCTTACGGGCAACACAACAATGTGCTGATTAGGATACATCTAATCTGTGCCCTTTTATTCTGCACTTACAGTCATGAAAATGTAATAGTCTGACTCTCCTAATCTGTAAGTGTTCAATAGTTCATGGTTTAATATTCTTAACTTTCATCCAGATGTAAAGAAGATTGAAATATGTATTTTTATTCATAACTATATTTTCCATAAACGCAGTGCAGTGCTGTACTCTCTGCAAAGTATTGTTTGTGCAGTCTTATTTTCATGATAATTTTCTGTGTTTTCTCAACTACAAGTTTTTAACTTGGTTATTCATCTCATTAATAGAGAGCTCTTTCCATGTGCCATTAGTAGGACTTTTTCTCAACAGTTGCTAATATATTGTTAGAAAATACTGTGGTAAGTGTTGTGTTTATTTTTGATAGAGTGGGCTTAAACGTAATCTGAAAAGTACATTAAAATAAATAGCTAAAATTTTAAGAATGTCTTTAATTAGGACTGAATAACCCCCTTTTCCAGTAGTTACCTAGAGACTTAGCCACCTGGAGTGCTGCATCCAGCTTTGGAACCCACAGCATCGGAAGGATATAGACCAGTTGGAGCGAGTCCAGAGGAGGCCACAAAGATGCTCAGAGGGCTGGAGCCCCTCTGCTATGGGGACAGGCTGAGAGAGTTGGGCTTGTTCAGCCTGGAGAAGAGAAGGCTCCGGGGAGACCTGATAGCACCTTCCAGTACCTGAACGGGCTACAAGGGTGCTGGGGGGGACTTTTTACAAGGGTCTGTAGTGACAGGACAAGGGGTAATGGGTTTAAATTGAAAGTGGGGAGGTTTAGATTAGATATCAGGAAGAAGTTCTTCATGGAGAGGGTGGTGAGGCACTGGGACAGGTTGCCCAGAGAAGCTGTGGATGCCCCATCCCTGGAAGTGTCCTAGGCCAGGCTGGATGAGGCTTGGAGCAACCTGGTCTAGTGGAAGGTGTCCCTGCCCATGGCAGGGGGGTTGGACCTGGATGGTCTTTAAGGTCCCTTCCAACCCAAACCATGCTGTGATTCTATGATTTAGCATAACAAGTGACTCTGGAGGTACAATGTTGGGAAGTGCTGTATGTTACTCCCCGCAGCTGCACTGCTAGACTGTCAAGTTATGAATGAAGAATGGGAATGGTTAATAAGTATAAAATGTGATCAGATTTTTTCCATAAACATGTAAGTTTGACAGCATTACTAAACTTTTTAGCTACTGTTGTGGTTTTGGGGTTTTTTTTTCCCTCTTCACTCCAGCCTGTACTTAATTAACTCAAAGTCTACCTTAAATTTGATTCAGTAATAACTTTCATGGGCTGTAATGAGCCTGTGGTAGGGCACTGCTTGATCTAGTAAGTGGTTATTTCCCTTCTAGTCCCGCTGTCTGGTGTAAAGTGCAGCAGCTGTGGTGCACATAGGTGGAGGCATCCTTCATGTGGAGAAGGGAAGCAATTACTTTCACTTAATTAATGAGATAAGGACCTCTTGGAGATGGTCTTTCAATCCCATTAAATCCTTGGTTCCCTCCAGGTTATACTCCTCCTACTACCCAAATGAAACGTATCTGGAGGGCTGCGTAACACGTATTTTGCGCTTGTTTTTTGGCTTGGAGGTGAAGGGTGGGTTTCAGTCACACTTAATGCCCATCCAGTGGGTTTCCTCAGCAGCGTCGCTGAGTACCAGCGTGGATCCTACACTCAGCGTTATGAACTTGGAGCCATTTTTGCCGTTAAAATAAGGGCACGTCCAAAGTTTCAGCACTTAATGCCTTGCTCCAACAGCTCCCGTGTGGGTAACGGGGCCTGTTGCCTGCCTTCAGAGAAGGGGAGTCAGCCCCTTCAGCTAGCCCAGCCCTCACGGGTACGGGTGCAGGCCCCGGGGCCGGGCGGCCCCGCGCTGGGCACCATGGCAACGGCCGGCACGTC